TGGGACTCATTGAATTCGTCCCTCAGCATCGAGGCCTGCCGGTTCATGCTCGGGTAACTCTCAGTAAATGTGCCGCTCCTGGACGGGCTCGGCACGGTTTGGCCGGTGAGGGCCGCAAGGGAGGCTGCTCTGGAGGCATCGTTGGTGGAAGCAGGATGGTCGCTGTCGTCCGGAGAGTGTATGCGGAGACCTCCTCGTGGTTGAGGTTGTAACTGCACCGGTGACTGTAGCGTGGGGGCTTGGGGATTGATATACTGAGAGAGAATGAGAGTACGTCTCTTTTCATAGCCTTTTTTGGTGATGTCGCCTTCTTCGAGTTCCTCGTCCAACTTGCGCAAGGCCTCCTCTAGTCCAGGGTTGATGCCCGACATTTTGGCCGTGCTACATGTGTGATCGGTCGGGCTGCGCAGATCGCCCGCACAGTCCAATTCGGCACCAGGGATCGAACGAAACGGCCGGCACTCGGTGGAGCAGGGGAAGGGTGCGTAGACGGACACGGATATTAAGCGAGTGACAGTGAACGCAGGCGAGACCGCGAGCAAGGGAGCGGGAGCGCGAGAGCCAGAGCCAGAGCGAGAGCAGGAGACGTTGAAGATCCGCGACGAGGTCACTCACTCCCCATGAATTTTGAGACCGGCCCGAAACATGGTAGCCCAAGATGGTGGTGTCGGTAATGGTGTGCGGCGCTGGTGGCGCATGTGGGGATGCAGACGCCCGTGGTGCCCGCATGATCGAGTTCGTTGAACGGCGGTGCTGCCACCGTTTCGCTTAGAGTGCTTGTGCGCCGTTATCAATTCCGGGGTTCTATCTAATTAGATACTCCGCGAGCAAAGCCGTAGCTGTGATGGATGACACGCCCGGAACGGAGCAACGGACGCTACAATCGATATTCACGTCGCAGATGGCAATGTATCTTTGAAGCTGGCTTTGTGACTATGTCTACTGACTGCTGATAACACCGAATAATCAGGGTGACGTTGCACAAGCATCGTTAATCCTACTGTGTAGACCTTGGACGCTGTTCGCGAGCAATAAGTTCGAATCGAGACATCGTGGATAGCAGCATTCATCCCACCAGCATTGATTTGAATACTCCTCATACAATCCTCACACTCGAATTCACATTCGGTTCGGCCAGCCCTAAAAGCTAGTCTGGGATCAGGGGTGTCTGCTCTGAATCCTGTCGCTCATATTGTTGATTGCGAGACTGATTCGGTATTGACATAAGCATTAAGATTTTCGTCCAGCCATTTGATCCGTGACGAAACCGCAGTCGGTCAGAAGAAAAGACCTAAATGTTCGTTTGATAGGCGACTGACTGGTCCTGCCGGCCAGTTGCTTAGTCCTGCCCTGGTAGCAGGGCACCGATTGTCCGTCGACATTGGTATGTGGCAACCACCTGCTCTTGGGTGTGATCTCTGGTTCCGTGGACTCTCGACCAGGGTGGCTTAACGGTCTGATGCCTTCCATTTCTTCGGGGGTATATTCGACGGCCCATCACTACGATTGACTTTCGAGCAACGTATAGACTGGTGCGTTGAGCTTATCTCGGCCTCTCAGGAATGTAAGCTCGATGATGAAAAAGTAGCCGAGAAGAGTGCCTCCGCATTTTTCGACCAGCGTGCCTGCCGCGGCCGCCGAGCCGCCAGTCGCGATCAAATCATCGACGACGAGGACTTTCTGGCCCGGCTTGATGGCGTCGGTCTGCATGGCAAACGTATCGGTGCCATATTCTTTCTGAAACTCGGCCGTCTCGATCTTACCAGGGAGTTTGCCAGCTTTCCTGACTGGGACAAAGCCCGCTCCGAATCGCAGGGCCAGCGTCGGTCCAAAGAGGAAACCCCTCGCATCAAGGCCGACAATCACATCTGGAAGGTTGTCCCGGCCGAGAGTTTCGATGATTTGTAGCTCATATGCTCGGATCAGAGCTTGGTGAAGAGAAGGAGAGGCGAAGAGGGGGAGGATGTCTTCGAAGAGAATGCCTTCCTTCGACCACCTTATCAGCGAGAGATCCTGTGAGGAAATTCGGCAGGCATTTACCTTTGGGAAATCTGGGTAGGTCTTTAAGCCCGCCTTGAGCAGAGATCTTAGTTCCGATAACGCTTCAGCACCGGTGAGTTGGGAGGCTATGGCCGTCAGCGAGGCTGAAAAATATTTTTGTTGGAGACGCGGGGTTCAACATACTGGTGGCGGCGGCATTGGGCTCTGGTCGCGCGGTGCCATGGCTGGGGTCAGTGTCTCCAGGAAGAGTCATGCTGAGGGAGAGGAACGGTCAGAGGGAGGCGGGAGGGTAGGATAAATATGGGCACGAGAAAAAAAGATGACAACGAAGAACGGTCGCACAAGAACGAACGCGCACGACGAATCAGTTGCGCATGCAAGGGCCGTCCGCTCTCGGGAGGGATCTGGTGGGAAGCTGATGTAGCTTGGGACACTATTCCAGTGTCGCCTGGCGCCTCCGAAAGTCTCCAGGTGGCTGAACAGCAGTGGTTCAATAGACAGCCAGCTTAGTGACAGGCTCTGGTTGTGGTTGCATGTGGTTATGTTACAAAGAGCAGTCAGCCTGCGCGAGCCGGAACTGACGTGACTGCAGCCGACAAATTCGCGTTGGCTAGCCAGCTGGCGAAGTGCGTGCGACTTGGATTCTCCCGCACTTCCATAGACGGCGGTGAGGGTCGGCAAGCGATCCACTCAGCATCCGGATCAGAGTTCGACAAGAACCAGGACGGGTGGACTAAAGGCCCTCCAAAGTCCGTGGCATGTGTACCACTACACCCTGAGATAGAGGGAGGTACCTCGATTCGAAGGAGCGCGAACTCAAGATACGGGTACATCCCGATCAAGAAGCCGATGCAGGTGTGAATGGCAAGGCCGCAAAAAGTGGGATGTCTCAAGATAACGTTTCTGGACAACCAACGATCCTGTACCATCTTCGGGAACACTTGATAGAAGGAACGCGCAGCGTGGGCAAGGAAATGCTCACGGCAGGCTGAGGGATTGGATAAGGTATTTTACAAAGAGCAGTGGGGAGCATCCATGATCATCATCCACCCACCATCTGACAAAAAGAGGACCCCTGCTGCCATGCCCACGCCGATGAACAAGGGACAGCCCTCGAGAAACAACCCCTACTTGGCCCGCCTAGCCACGGTCCTCCCTTTTCTTTACCCGGTAGTCGTCGGTGAGAGTGGGGATTGGAGTTTTGGTGGCGCCAGCTTGTCCTGCGTCTGTCGATATCGTGCAACCACATCCCGACAAAGCAGACGTGGTCGACTTGCTCAAGTCCAAGCAGCACTGGGCGGGATGTCCAAGGGCCCTGTCATCAGTGGTCTTGGATTCGTGGGCTGTCTCCGCAGGCTTGCAGCAACAGAATGTGCTCAGACGGAAAGACAGGATACGAGCTGGCGAAGCGCAGTTGTGGACATGTTTGTTTCCTGAGCCACTTTCCTCGGCCTTGTCTGCGTGTTGCGACTCGTGTTGTTTGAGCGAGAAAGGGACCGCAAGTCCGCGATCCTTTCCATCACCTCATCTTGGCCCGCATCGAGGTGACCCTTGGCGTCCCGAGCGAGCCTTGCACGCCGCTTTCTTAGAGGATATGTTCTAGATGCTCGATGGGAAGATCAACCCCAAGTGCCCCAACTAGTGAATGACGACGATCATATGTGATCTGCGCAAATTGCAAGGCCCAAGTCCCGGTCCGTGATGATCTCGAGGGAAACCGCATTCATAGATCCCGATGTTTATGCGACTCATCAGAAGTGTCAAAGAAGCGGTGACAATCAACAAGGATTTGGTGGACAAGCTACTGCAAGCCACCGCTTCAGAAGTTCAACCTTGATCCCGGGGTGTTACACGACAGGACTGCTCCAGAATTTGTGGATAACCAAGATGGCTCAACATTCCGGAGGTATCCGCCTACACACGGCGTACTCATGGGCTGAATAATAGTATAAGATATAAATATAAATATATGTATATTTATCGCGTCGAAGGCGCCTCATGTCCAGCATTGCCTGACCTCTTACACGATTCGAACCGTGGTGGAGTGATTGTGTCCGTGGGCCCCGGGCGCTTCAATAATGTCACAGTAGAGGTCAACGCAAGCAACGGAAACTTACGGATGTCGCAATGCTCGTGATATCACGCCAGGTTCCTGCCAACTTGCATCAGACTCCGTGCCAAATAGGTGTTGAGGTATCCAAAACGGTCATTTCATCCTTCCTAGACCGGTCCGTCGCAGCGTCTTTCCGCTCGAATGCGAAATGCTAGGAGTCGAAAGTCACTGGATCTCCTGGAGATCCCAATGTCGTAACTGGGCGGCTATCATCTGCTGCTCTGTCATGGGAATTCCCAGCTTCACGCACGTTTGCGACCCGGACTTGGACGCCTGGAAGAGCTCTGTTGAGGACGGGAGTCTGAGGCTTCCTGTTTCGGGAGTTGAGCTTTCACGCGAGATCCCGTCATCATTACGAAGAGGCTGAGCCGAGGAGCATCAGCCATGCATAATGTGTGCATGCATGAGAGATCACACGTACGACTCCCAGCGTGAGCGGTGTTGTCCAGAACGGTACTATCCAATTCTCTAGGTCATACCGAGGAATTGACAATGGAGGTCGGGGTACCACGACTGCGATATCTGCCGTCGTTTTATCAGGCTTGTTGTCGATCGCGCGTAGTCCCTTTGCAGGTAGTCTGAGCTTCATGCCAGCGGCGAAATCTTGCCGATATACGGCGGGATGGAAGCTTGGTTATTGAGCCCCAGAACTAAAACCACGCAAGCGTTAACCGAGGATTTCGGTCAATCGTGTGGTACTGTGTACTCTCAGCTCTTTACTGTGTAGGTAATCGTGAAGAAGCCTTTTGTGTCGGAAGGCGGACAGTTCCACTTTTGGACTAGTGTGACTCACCGCCTTGGCAGAATTTCTGCCGAACCAAAAAAAAGTTGCGGCTCTCCTTCAGCACTTCAACAGCGAGTCCTCTGCCCTAAGCATTTTTGCCAAATGGCCCGAAACAAGCAAGAGGATGAGTTTGTCCTGACACTGTCTGACGGCGAAGCCGACCCTACGGTCTCCGACACCGACTCTGAGACTATTCAGCCCAAGAAAACCCTTAAACGCAAAAGAGAGGTAAAGGACGCGAAGAACAAGAGACAGAAGAGTGGGTTTGACCGGGAGCCTGAGACAGTGAGCGCATACTCAGACCCAGAAGATGTCGATGTCGACGAGCAGGGTGTCAGGGACGACGCCCTCGACCCCGACTTCGAGTTCGACATTGGCGCGAACACCGTCCTGCAAGACATAGAGGAATTCGACGGCTGGGGTCACGATATCCCAATTGCAAAGAACAAAGATAAAAAAGGGGTTGATATTGACGCAATCATTGCTCGCCGTGCTGAAAAGAAATCGAAACCGTCCAAACATGAGGAACAAGTAGAGGCGGCGGATTCGGAAGCAGAGGATGCGATTTCCGATGTCGACGACGAGTATGATGGTGTCGAGTTACCTGACTTGGGAGACGACGAGCTCCTTGCAGCAGACGTCTTTGGCGCTGAGGCAGAGTCTGAAGGCGAAGAGCAGCGTACAGAGGCCGACGAAGAACAACCGCCTGATGAGGAAGAGGACGACCAGGGCTCCGATACCGACTCCGTCGCGTCACCAACAGCTCATCCCGACGATCTAGCCTCGGACCACTCCGACGTCGCATCCCAGACCTCCGTTGAAGATGATGCCGAAGAGGCAGCCAAAAGAGCTGCCTTCTTTGCGCCCGAAGAGAAGAATACCCAACCGAATATTACGTCCGTGTCTTCTTTCCAACAGTTTTCGCTATCACGACCCATTCTCCGAGGCCTAGCAGCCCTGTCATTCACTACACCAACACCAATCCAAGTCCGCGCCATACCCGTCGCCCTACAGGGTCTAGACGTCGTCGGCTCAGCCGTCACCGGCTCCGGCAAAACCGCGGCATTCCTCCTACCCATCCTGGAACGCTTACTCTATCGACCAAGGAAAGTTCCCACGACCCGAGTAGCCATCCTCATGCCGACCCGTGAACTGGCAGTCCAATGCTATAACGTCGCGACCGCGCTCGCTCGCTACACGGACATCACATTCGCACAAGTTGTAGGCGGTTTCTCCCTCCGCGAACAGGAAACGATCCTCAAGAAACGACCTGACGTCGTGATCGCCACACCTGGCCGGTTTATCGACCACATGCGCAACTCGGCCAGTTTTGCGGTGGAAAACATTGAGATCTTGGTTCTGGACGAAGCAGATCGCATGCTTGAAACGGGGTTCGAGGACGAATTGAACGAGATTCTGAAGACCATACCGCAAGGTCGCCAGACTATGCTGTTTTCAGCGACAATGACAGATAGCGTGGACAAGCTCGTCAGAGTGGGCATGAATCGGCCCGTCCGGCTGTCCGTCGACGCAAAGAAATCCACCACCGCCGGTCTAACCCAAGAATTCGTGCGCTTAAGGCAAGGGCGCGAAGATAGGCGTCTCGCCACGCTCTGCGTTCTCTGTCAGAAGTTCTTCACTGAGCGAACAATCGTGTTCTTCCGGCAGAAGAAAGAGGCCCACCGGGTGAGGGTCGTGTTTGGTCTGTTGGGCCTCAAAGCAGGAGAACTGCACGGCAGTATGACTCAAGAACAGCGGATTAGTGCAGTCAATGCGTTTCGAGATGGCAAGACGACGCACTTGCTTGCCACGGATCTGGCGAGTAGAGGGTTGGACATCAAGAACGTGGCGACGGTGGTTAACTATGAAGCTCCGCAGACGCATGAGATCTATCTTCATCGTGTGGGCAGAACGGCAAGAGCTGGCCGCTCCGGTCGCGCTTGCACCATCGCGGCAGAGCCAGATCGAAGGATTGTGAAGGCGGCGGTGAAAAGCGCAAGACAACAGGGCGCTAAAGTCGTGTCTCGTGTCATGGACGCGAACGATGTCGACCACATGGCCTCACGTCTTGACGACCTCGAATCCGAGATCGAAGAGATTCTCAAGGAGGAGAAGGAAGAAAAGCAGCTGGCTACCACGGAGGCGGAGCTGCAACGCGGTGTGAATCTGATCAAGCACCAAGATGAGATCATGGCTCGACCGAAGAGGACATGGTTCGAAACCGAAAAGGAGAAACGCGATGCGCAGACCAAAGGCCGGCTGGAGTTGAATGGTCCTAATGGCGTGGTGAAGATCAGGGGCGAAAAGAAAAAATTGAGCAATAAGGATAAGAAGAGGCTCGATGACGCTCGAGAGAGGAAGGAGGGCAAGATGTGGAGGAAGGGCAAGGGAAGTGAACAAGCGGCCAAGATGGCTGTCAGAGCTAAGAAGAAGAGCAAGGCGGGCAAGGCGAAGGCCAAGGGGAAAGCCAAGGGGAAAAGATAGGTGCCCCGGTGGCTGTAGACTGCCAGTCCAGTATTGCTCAGTCGACTGGCTGGCCCGAGCCGCCTTCCTGATGATCGCTGTCATACTTGGCACGAAATATCGTTTCTTTCCCCGGGCTTCCAGAACTCGAGAGGTATTATTCATTTCTGCCCAGCAGGCTTAAGCTTCCCCTGCTTGATTAGATCATCCACTTTCGGTGGTAGAACCAGCGCACTACGATCGTTGCGTCTATAAAAATCTGCGATAATACTCGCCGTCTTCGCCGGCTGATCTTCCTGGATGAAATGTCCTGCGTCGGGGAAGACCTGAAGTTGATATTTCCCTTGCATCTGCCCGATCATGAGCTCCTTGTCCAACCGGTCTGTTCCCGCCAGCAGAAGTAACTTTCCTCCGCGGGACTCGAGAAACTTCTTAGATAGGCCCGTAAACCAGTCTTCCCAGAACGGTTTTGTAGCAGCGAGATCGGTACGCCAGTGCCATGTGTCTGGCGTTGTCTTGGACTCCTGGAGGAGTGAGGGCACAGAGACTCTGGCCGAAGCGGAGTTGCGGATTGTGCGGGATTTGATATGCCATTCTATGCCTGAGGCGAGTGAAGGGAAGGACTTGGGCCGTGTTGACAGATACGTGTCCATGCTCTTCAAAGCGTCCATGGCCGAGCCCTCTACGACATCCAGGACGCCATACGCGAGCAGTGAGTTGCCCAACAGTCTCGCGTGGGCGACTTCAGTCACAACGGCTCCTCCGAGGCTATGGCCTATGAGCACAATATCTGGCAACGTGGTCCATTTCATGTGGGCTTTGACGGCATTGACCACGAACGCTAGATCCTCTGCTAGCGTCGGCAAGCTGAGGTCTTGGCTGGGAGGTAGGCTGCCGGAGGAAGTGGTGATGGTGGTCTGACCATGGCCACGAGCGTCTAACGATAGCACTCCAGCGTTGGGGAGGACTTTCAGCAGTTCTGCAGCAAAGGCGGCAAACGACAAGCCCGACGACCCTGCTCCGTGATGTGTGACGATGAGCGGTCCAGAAGCCGAGGGCGGTGCTAGATAGACATGGTGATGAATGATCTCTGCGGGAGTCTTGCGCTCGAAAGCCAACTCCTGAGTAAAGAAGTCATCCCATGGCAGAGGTGCCGTACGGGATCTAATGGCAGAACCTCACAACGATCAGCAGCTGTGTGGCCGAGAAGCCAGTGTCGGGCTCACCTTCTGGGCTTTTCAAATAGGTTGCGGCTCGGCGAGGGGACAATAGTGCCTGTAGAGGACGTCGATGAAGCGGACGAAGAGGAGTCGTTTGGCGAGCCAGGCCTCAAATCCCCCACGTCATCCTCTTGTTCTGCCTGTTCATCAAGGCTAGTCGGCGGTTCGGGTGGGAGACGAGATAGATGTGTCCGCGCAAACGATCTCTGAAGGTCGCTCATACCGGCTGCGGGAGGAGAGGAGATGCGGGACAGAGCATACACTAAACCAAGCTGACTCGTCAAAGACAGATCGAAGGGACGTCGATGATGGGTTTCCCAGTCAAACGAACGGTGGTGAATCTGGATCGGCAGAAACTTACAGGGATGCTCGGTAAGGATAGCCGTTACCTAGATAGCGGCATGTGACGCCTACAGGCGTGCGAAATAGGCAAGGCGGGCACAAAGTGGGTGGGCGTGACTCGCTTCTATGCGCCATTGGTCTCTCCAAACCGAGCTTCCCTGGCTAGATCTCTCAGGTTTGGGGAAGCTTGCCCGCAAGCTGCGCCGGCTTGGACGCCACTGGCCCCTAACTGGTTAGGTGCTGGCCACCCGCTGGTGCCACCAAGCGTTTAATGACGTCTGAAGCTCTTTTCTCCATTACGATGCTGCCACTTCTCCCAGCCAGACTGCTCCGAAGCTGAAGTCTGGAAAAGTTCTTCTTTCTGTCCTCTAGCAATGAAACTGAAATCTATCACATCTTCCCTGTAGCTACACCCAGACCTCCAGCGAGACTACCTATCCAAGCTGAACCAGGCAGCTTCGACAGCTGGGCATCCATTGCTGTAGCTCCGGCGACAAACAGCTGCTACCATGGTTTCACTATGGGGATCCAAGAACAAGGACGACGATCGTCCAACGCAGGACGGTGAGGAAGATAACACAGAGGCCACTACTTCACAACCCCAATCCAATAGACGGTCGGAAGACGCCAACGAGAGGACAAGGCTGTTGCCTCGTAACGATCGAGCCCAAGGCTACCTCAGTCCTGATGACCCAGCTGTATGATCCGGCCATCGGCAGGTTGAGCTCACCGTAACCTAGCTAACAATGTGCCTAGGTATCGCCGTATAACCTCTGGAGTGTCCGCGCGCTTCGCTGGTTCGAAGTGCTTTTCCTGCTGATCACCTGTCTTTGGTGGGTGCTGCTATTCATCTCGATCTTCGTCAGCCCACCTTACTTCAATTCGAGAGGCTCGGGCTTCTTCGATGTCGCCTACACCACCCTCACCATCGGAAATATCCTGACTGCCCTCCTCTTCTTCGCCACACCTTCGACTGCTATGAGCGTCTTGAGCATGGCGACCTCCGTCCTGCTCTTGATCGACATGATCATCATCCTAGCTGTTCCACGAATCCGGGTCGAAGAGGGCTGGATTGGGATTGCGTCGGTTATCTGGGCCGCCTTGATCGGCTTGTACAACGTGGTGACGAACAAGACTGTGAAATGGGGCAAGGCTGAGGAGGAAGAGCGCCTGACTGGGCGTCAGGAAACCCGCCGTTCGCTTCGAGAGTGGTGCGCGGTGTTTACGGCGACCTTCCTCATGTCCGTCTACGTGATCATTGTCGTCCTTCTTACAGCAGTCCTGGTACTACGATCGAGAGATGCCACCCTCCCAGCTCCTGGCACACGATACTTGGTGGATAATGACCAGTACGCCGTCCATTTGGCATGCGTGGGCAACCAGACATATTATCCCGATGGCAAGCCAAAGCCGACTGTGTTGCTCGAAGGTGGATATATGCCTGTAGAAGACAGCTTCGAGGGCTGGGTGTACGATGCCTGGGCAAACAAAACCATCGATCGCTACTGCTACTGGGACCGACCCGGAATTGCATGGTCGGACAACGCGCCGTCGCCACATTCCGCCGGGATGTCCGCAGATGCCATCTCCGAGGCGCTTGCCATTGCAGGCGAAGATGGCCCCTGGATTCTGGTTTCTGCCGGCGTTGGCAGTATCTACAGCAGAGTTTTCTCGGCCAGACATCCCCGTGATATCAGGGGCATGATGTTCATCGATGGATTGCACGAGGACCTACTCTACAAGATCGCCAATCCTGGTCGAGGGTTCATTCTCTGGGGTCGTGGCATCATTTCACCTTTAGGTCTTGATCGCCTAGCCGGAGCGCTTTTCAAGGGTCGCACTAAGGAGGACCGTGTCTACGGCAAGTCGTCCTATCAGGGCGGCAAATTCATCAAGAACAAGTTGCAAGAGAACCTTGTGGCCAACTCGTTGACCAAGAACGAGGTCGTCACCGCTCGAAACATTCAAGCGCCAAAAGTACCCCTTGTCGTGGTGACTTCCGGCGTCCATCTCAAAAAAGACAAGGACTGGGAGAGGAAACAGGAAGATCTGACCAAGGTGACGGAAAAGCTGATTGCATGGGATATTGTCAAGGGAGCCCCCTCTGAGGAGATCTGGAGGTCCGGTGAAGGACGAAAGGTTTTGGAAAAGAGACTGGGAGAACTGTACAAGGCATCATAATGGTGGTTTGTGAAGCTCTCTCCGGACAAATGTGCAAAAGCAAGAAAGGCGTTCCAAGGCATGCAACGAGTATCGTCCATACCCCAGCACATGACGGGAATTAGTCGCGAGCTTTTGGTGTTCGATTTGACAGCGCCGGCGTTTGATTCCACACTCTTGCCAAAGCCGAAATGAGCGAACCGGGATCAATAGCTGAAGGCAGTTCGATCAGGTATCTCAAAGTACTTGTAATGGATCAACCTGGCTTTCATTCCCATGACCTCTGAGGCACGCATCTCTCAGCAGGCAATTAGCGAGCAATTAGCTGGATCTTGACTATGAAGGACTAGGTAGATGCTTACGGGCCCGCCATAGGTAAAGTGTGAGTGTGTTTGCGGGTCGCAGTCTGAATAGCCGCCCGCTGTTAGGTGACTTAAGACTATGTACTGTCCAAGGCACTTGAGTGCCTGCGAGCACCATGAGTACCTAACGAGGTACATTGTACGGAGTACACGCTAGTGGATGACGTATTGAGGCTTGCCGCCTTGTGGAGAATCTTCTCCAAACATCCAACATCCGTTCACCATCAGAGCCTCGTGGCGACAGCGCAGCTCTGCAGAAGTCACGAGCGGGCTTGTTTGTTGCTGTCACGGCTGCCTCACGCCTTCACCACTTCGTAACTTGGTTCGTATCCATCTCAGAAGCCGAAATCCTGCTGCCCGTCCCGTGCTACTCATCACCATCTCCATAAACCACCAACCCGTCTCTCAACTCTCCCCTTAGCACGAAGAACCGCCAACATGTTACTACGGTTTGAATCGAGATTGGGCCAGTTTCGATTAAACGTTGAGCCTACAGAGCAGTTTTCATCACTCACTTCAAAGGTACAGATTCTCCTAATTGATGAAAGCAGTGGACTGAGACTGACGCGACGGCAGATTCTCGACAACCTCCCTCCAAACACCGATGCCGACTCGATAGTTTTGAGCAACAGACCCGTAGGCTCCAAACCAGATCCTGACAGAGAGCGACGTCTAGCAGACCTACCTGGAGTAGAGCTGCAGCAGGTTGGATTAAAACATGGAGACAAACTATTTATTGGATTCTCGGAGCACGAGAAACTGTCCAACGGCCACTCCAATCCTGAAGCGCCTCCAACTTCACGGCGGCTGAACGGCACGATTGCCTTGCCAGAACCTACGACGCTTACGCCAACTGTCGCTGTGACTTCGCCGACATTCATAAAGAACCCATGGGAGGTTATAAAACAGTCGGCATTGGATGACCGGCTGGATAAAAAGGATGGCAAGATTTCTAGGCCACGAGATCTCAAGATGTGTCGCCATGGCCCAAAGGGAATGTGCGACTACTGTCAGCCCCTGGAACCATACGACAAGAAATACCTGGAGGAGAGGAAGATCAAGCATTTGTCATTCCACAGCTACCTGCGCAAGATCAACTCTGCAACGAACAAGCCCGAGTTGAAGAGCTCATATATGCCACCTCTGACGGAGCCTTATTACCGAGTCAAGAAAGATTGCCCAGCGGGTCATCCTCCCTGGCCCGAGGGTATATGCTCAAAGTGTCAGCCAAGCGCCATCTCCCTCCAGCCGCAACAATTCCGAATGGTTGACCATGTCGAGTTCGCCTCCGCGGACATGGTCGATAAGCTGATTGACTTCTGGAGAAAGTCTGGCAGCCAGCGGCTCGGCTTCTTGTACGGCCGGTACGAAGAGTATACAGAGGTGCCGTTAGGCGTCAAAGCTGTCGTCGAAGCAATCTACGAACCGCCTCAAATCGGCGAAGTTGACGGGCTCAGGCTATTGGACTGGCCGAACGAGACAGAAGTGGATGAAGTTGCAAGACTCTGTGGCCTGGAGCGGGTTGGCGTGATATTCACCGATCTCATGCCACCCGAGGAAGGCGAAGGTCAGGCTGTATGCAAACGACACATTGACTCGTACTTCTTATCCTCCCTGGAGATTGCATTCGCAGCGCGGTTCCAGGCACAGTATTCGAAACCGTCGAAATGGAGCGAAACCGGTCGCTTCGGGTCCAACTTTGTGACATGTGTGGTCACTGGCGACGAAGATGAAAGCATCACCATCAGAGCGTACCAAGCATCGAATGAGGCAGTAGAGATGGTTCGTGCGGACATTGTGGAGCCGTCAGCAGACCCTTCGGTGATGCTGGTACAATCAGAGGATGACGAAAGCGTGACTGGTCAACAGCGATACATCCCCGAGGTGTTCTACCGCCGGATCAATGAATATGGCGCGAACGTGCAAGAAAATGCTAAGCCCAGTTTCCCCGTGGAGTATCTATTGGTGTCCCTGACGGCCGGAATGCCTATCAACCCCAGGCCGCTGTTTACGAACAGCAAGTTCCCGGTGGAGAATAGAGAAGCCGTGGCCGAGGGTCAAGATCCCAAGGATGTGTCCAAACAACTGCGCTCCTCGAAATCGGTAGAGGCGGTGTCCGATTTCCACCTCTTGTGCTTTCTTCATGGCATGGGCGTCTTCAGCAAGGTATGTCTGGTAGTCTCGGCGAGCTGGTTCCCGTTAACAATGGACATAGGAAGAAGAACAGATTCTGTGTCGGGTTGCGACCACACGAGATCAGGTGGATGCGGCGCATTTGACCGAGTCTCCCGGTTGGGGAACCCTGCTGGCAATCCTCGAATCATATGGTGAGCGGCCCTTGAAGCGTTCATGGAATTTGTCGACAGAGGACGATTCGTTCGACCCTGAGAGCCCGTCAGAAAACCTGGCTAAACGATTCAAACAGGCGGCTAGCCTCGAGCGATGAGGAGAGCTATACGAGACGACGAGCAATGAGATGCAGATGCTACACATGGAATTTTGGCACGACCGAACTGGCACTTTGCATAGTGGGTGATGGGCGGCGCATGGCTGTGGTAGACATGGTGTGACATGCCAGGAGTCTGTACAACAAAGCGTTACTGCAAATGGCCGGGACTGGGCGGATGATGTGAAGGCAGGACAAAGGCCAAACCCTGTGGACAGGCACAGTGGAGATGCGGGTGGGTTGGTCAGACATTGCCGTATCACCAACCTGCGTTCTGTGAGCGCACATTCGAGGGGCCGTGAGGCAAGGAGGATGACCCTGGGAGGGATCGACAGACTGTCGTTGATCTACAGAAGCGAGGTCCGAGTTAGGTGACGTTTCCACCAGATCACCGAGGCCAGGCTCCAGGCAGAGGAAGCTCGTAGGTGTCTATGAGCAAAGACGTGATTATCAGGGTCAGCTGAGCCACGAATCTGAATGTACGAGGAACGAACTGCACCCACATCCATTCCCAGGCGTGCCAGGATATGAGTCTTTATTTCTGTTCTAGTAAAGACCTCTGACGTTGAAAGTTAAAGGCTCGGTGACGTGGTTTTGAAAGGCGACAGCAAATAAAAGCGCGATCATCGGTCCTCTTATGGCGGTGCAGTGATAGACGGGTTCTAGAAGCTCTTTGGAAGCGCTAATCCCGTATTCCCTCCCGCCCTTCGGAGTAGGGCTGGTGGGCTGGGAAAGTCGATAGATGCCTATCCGAAGGTACATCCGGAAGCCTGCAGCTTTGCTGGAGCCTGCAAGAGAGGCTGAGGTGAAGCCGCTCGATGCGGATGGGAGAGGGTGATGACAACTGGCAACGTGCGCATGCTACTGAGGGACAAGTGAGCAGAGTTTCAGCAGACTGAGCCCGTCCTCCAGAGCCGGGCCAAGGAGTGATTGGCGTGGGTGGGGATTCTAGTGTCTCTTTTGCCTTCTTTTCGGCTTCTCTTGCTTCTTCCGATCCACCATTCAGAGGCCCGGGGAGCGCCTAACCCGGTCGAGTTAACGAGCCTGGGAGTCGGGCCTACTGTCTAGGGTGCAGTGGGTGCCTTTCTCACTCTTCTTGCCCACGTTTGACCTCCTGCTGCTGCTGCAACCGAAAGAAGCTTGACTCAATCCCCCCTCAGCTCTACCTGCGCAGTCGCAAAAGAGTCCCGTCCCCGTCCATCAAATCCAGACAGCCCATTCCCACCTGCGCCGGCATCCTCTTCGTCTCAATTAATACACTGCACTAGTTCTGGGAGTGTGACGGTATTCTCGCCAATCTGCAGGCGCAATCCACCCTTCCTTGGACAGGCGTGCATTTGTCTGCGCCTTCCCGGACACCTCGATTGACAGCTGCGACCTGCCACTTTTCCGGCTTCTTTGGCCCCGTTGTCGCCCACTGTTCGAGTCGTCGAGCGACCTGCGCCGTTGGAGCTTGTCAACTCAGTCTATTCGTGCTGTACTGGCTTCGCCGAGCTGCTCCAGTGGTTGCTTTTTCAGCTGGAATCCCGAAGTCGCAACCCCGGCCGCTTGTTGCACCACCCACTTTCGCCGCCTTGAGCGCGATGAATTTGTAGCAGGCGAGCCGCGTTTGCAGCCACCTCTGTTCGGATACCCTGTCCTTTGTCCCGAATCGACCCTGCGCCAGGGCCCTTCCAGTTTCACAACTCGTCCCGCTGGCCGTTTAATCGCATAATGGGCCCGTAAGGCCTGCCTCGAAGCAATAGCGACTCCTCCCCCCGACCTCAGATCGGCGCCGAAACGATGGATCCTTCTGCTTGCCGGGTAATCTACATCGACGAGAGATTCAACACGGAAAGGTGGATCTCGAGGGAGGGGCTGTCTCCTACCACGCCCTCAAGAGCAGGTTCACAGGTCGAATTCTCCGACCTACCACCCGACTTACAAACCAATGTGAATGCGTTTCTGACCGTCTTCAATCAAGGTGAGCATAGTCCCCTCCTCGACCAGGTTGCGATCGCGGCTCATATGGCGTCTCCCAGTGTACGTGTGTAGCTCAGGAAGAGCCTTCTCCACGAAGTTGTCGGAACTCCATGACCAAGTCAAGCTCGATTGTACACCTATACTTGCCTGTATCGATGTCGGCTCGGAATCAAGGCATGGCCACTTGAGGTCCCGGCCCAAATTCTTTCCCTCCTCTGATTCCCCCTTGCCATCGCCCAGCTTGCTCAGGAAGGAAATCACCTTCTCCTCGGAATCCGACGAGTCATATGGTCTTCAACTCCTGTCCCGAATAGCCTCCGATCTCCAGGTAGAGGAAGGCGTAAAGCTGATCATTCCCGTGGCAATTGTACAACCCAAGCGAAACGATTCTTACGACCAGGCTCTCGACACCGTCCGCCAACCCGAAGTCTCTAGAGCACCGTATGGCCCCGAGGCCGAGCCCGTCGCCATCGAGGATAGCTCAGACGTCATCGACACCCAGTTAATGCTCCAATGTCTCGACGCCGGTGCCTTGGACGTGGTTAAGAGTCCATTGGACAAAGCGGGGATCATGGGTCTGACAGTCCATGCATACCGGATATACAAGAATGCGAAGAAGGAACAAGCAGGCTTCATGGCCATGGCACGACGGAACCGCAAGCAGTCGTGGGTCGGCATGGAAGACGAGAAACCATATGCCTACCTCCGAGAAGCTATGGTGAAGAAGCTACTGAAGGGAATTTGTGAGCCGCAAAATATCATCGAGGATTATCAGCACCGTGATTTGTTCGTTCAGGAGTCCCGGAAGCCCGTCGTCGCGGCCGCTGTGGGCAGATGGGACTTTTCAGGACACGATTTCACTGAAGATGAGCTGGTCTACGCCGGTTACTACATGCTCAACCACTGTCTCGAGATGGAAGCGTGTGAGCAGTGGAGCATGAGCCAACGTGAGTCCCCGTCCAAACGCGGTCAACTTTCTCTGACCTCTGTTGCCAGGCGACCTCCTGCATTTCATGCAAGGTTGTCGTGTCGCTTACAATTCTTTCGTCCTCTACCACAACTTCAGGCATGCAGTCGACGTTCTGCAGTCGGTGTTCTACTTCCTGGTCCAGATTGGCACCCTTCCACCCTACCCTGCCGGTGCCAAGCCATCTCCCTTCGCAGACTCGAAGTCACCCATCGCGTGCCTGCTAGGACCCTTTGAGGCATTGACACTTCTGGTCTCGGCAATAGGACACGACGTCGGCCATCCTGGAGTTAACAACATGTTCCTGGTTAAACTCAATGCCCCTCTTGCACAGCTGTACAACGACCAGTCTGTCTTGGAAGCCTTCCACTGTGCCGCCTACTCGCAGATTCTCCGCCGTCACTGGCCGGTCGCATTCCAGGACAAAGCCCTCCGGAAGTTGATGATAAGTACCATCCTCGCTACTGACATGGGCATCCACTCCGATTACATGCAACAACTGGGCAACTTGCAGGAGAAGATTCATGAAAGCAAAGCGACCGACGGATGGTCGCCAAAGGACGTTGATTGGGCACGGACTTTGGCCTGTGGATTGTTGATTAAATGCGCTGACATCAGCAATGTGGTACGTAGCATGGCCTCGTTAGTCAGAAGCCTTCACTGACCCTTCCAGGCACGGCCATGGCTGGTAGCTGAGAAATGGACCCATTTACTGCAGAAGGAGTTTGCTCATCAAGGCGAGATGGAGCAAGCGGTCGGGCTGGAGACGACGCTCTTTGGCGGTCCTCCCGAGCTAGGCAACATGCTGAAGCTGGCCAACGGTCAGATCGGCTTCATGACCATCTTTGCCCATCCACTGTTTGCCAACGTGGCTGACATCATCCCTGCTATGCGTTTCGCAGCCGACGAGATCCTTACAAACAAGGGGGTGTGGTTTACCCGCGCGGAGCACGAGAAGAAGCTTCAGCTTGTCAAAAAGGGCACAGGACCCGGCGATGTCGGCTCGATAAGTCCGAGAACACAAAGTCCTGTCGGCCGTGCGCCAGAAACCGCAAAGGAGAGGCACCTCCCAACGTCTCCATTGCGTGGTCGAGGCGACTCGCCGGAGAAATCGTTTCCAGATCCTGGACGGGGTCGGCAAGGTGGCAATACCACACCGCACAACACTTCACGGCCATCGTCCCTAGCTGCCGCTGCAGCTATCGTGGTTCCCGGAGTTGACACACCACATCTTCGTGGGTCAGGGTCGGGATCCAGCCAGGATCTGAAAGCTTCGGATCGGGTACGATCAGGTTCCGCTCTTGTCAATGGCGAACACATACCAATTGAGCTGACTTTGGACGGCACGCCTATTGAAGAGAACGATGGCCTCACTTCCAACAGTACACCACGGCAGGGACCATCAGCACGGGACATCTCGTCCGAGTCATTGATGGCACAAGTCGACAAACGGAGGGACAACATGGTCTCGATGCGAGCAGGCGCAGAGGCTATTCCACCGGAGGCCCTCGAGGGGAGCAGGATCTCAGATGCACAGAGCATGCAAAAGTTCAAATTCGCGACTTCGAAGGAGGATGAGCCGGTCCGGACTTTCGACCCGGAGAAGAATTACAGTCCCTCCAACCCCGGTACTCGAGCTAGCGCGCCGGCAAGTGATAGTGGACCCAAAGACACCCGGAATAATGGACCAATGTCATCCGAAAGTGAGGATGTCTCAGGCACGAAACTGAGAGGAGGTGGTGGGGAAGGGTTGCTGACACCTAGTGGCAGCGGCACAAGCTATACATCAGACAAGAGCGAAGATGCATCACGGCATCAGAGCAGTTTTCAGGCGGTGCGCAACCGAGCAGCGAGCGCACCGCTGCATTCAGGAAGCCCGGTCCTCAGGCCCAGCTTCAGCATGGGGAGTAACAGCACCACAAGCCGAGAAGGCAGCAAATACGACGTTCACACGACTATATTGAGTAATGGGAGTCTGGAGGGCAGCAGTGCAAGGGAACGGAAAGCCAGCACGAAGACCATGGGCAGAAGACGAAGCAAGCTGAAGCTGGGTCTCGCATTTTGGAAGCGAAACCGCAGCGACAAAAGCGTGGAGGGTGGTTTAGAGAGGCCGGGTAGCCACGGCAGTGGAGGATGCTGATCGGTGACGAAAGAGAAGGATTTGCACACCCATGTCTGATTTACAGCGCTGTTACGTGTTGGAGCCTATGGAGCTTCTTGGGAGGTATTGTCTATCATTGGGGCGGCACCGACGGCGTGAGGAGGTTTGTGTCGGGCATTTTCCACTTTTCTATGGACACCCGATCGACTGTTACGCGTTTGATGCATGATAAGGATGGATGACTGGGGCATGACTGGGAGCGTGGCCACCGCACACTGTGAGAAGCATCGCTGCAGCCATGGACGCGATGCCAGACATGCATGGTACAAAAAGGAAAGTCCCAGGGCTGCTGAGGACCAGCAAGGTATGGATGAGATGCAGGCCGGAATATGGTTCTGCGCCGTGCCAAGCAGCCCAAAGCTATCAAAACCAGTCTATGATGTTGATCTGTATGGATCAAGACAGTATCGACTCACTCTCTAATGCTCGACCGAGCCGTGGCCTGTAGAACGAGTGTCTGACACGCTGCTTGCCCTGTCCTCTGCAACTGCCACAGGGAGGATGAGTGCTCAATCCAAACGCGCTCCTTTCCGGCCATAGTCCAACGCGACGGCCCCCGTCGAGATGCAGAAATCAGCAGATCCTCGGCGAGGACGAGTTAGTTACCGCAGGGCACTCTTAAACTGCTTCAACAGTCCGCTCTGGGGCCGACGCCACGCCGATGCTTCGTCTCCTCCAGTCTTGGTTATCGCTTTCCTCTCCTTTCGGTTCCGTCGCCGCTGCTCATGTTCGGTGATGGTCCTGGCGTTGGAGCTAGCATGAGCGTTGGGCTCGAGATTCTTGCGCTCCCGGTCGGCATTGATAATCTGCTCCCGCTCCCGCTCCTGCTCCTTCTCCTCGTCGTCACTGGCGGCGGCCGCCTCGAACCCCAGCGCGGCCTTGCCCACGTCCCATTCCCTCTCCTCGCCTCTTTTTCTCCACTTGACATGCCTGACGTCCCCGGTGTCGCCGTCGGGAACGCCGTCGCCATGACGGGGGCCATTCCAGCGCGAGATTTCCGCGTCCGTGAAGCCCGCCTCGCGGAGGCGGAGGGCTTGTTTCGCGCGGTGGGACTGTCGGTGGCGCAGGGCTGAGAGGGCGGATGTCCATTCGTCGTCCAAGTCGGGTTCGGCCGCGTCTGCGTCTGTGGTGTCGGCCGAGGGGTTATATGTCGGGGCGAAGTGGGTGTCTATGTTGGAGTTGGAGGTCGGCGGGTCGCGAGAGTTGGACAGGGTCGTGGAGCTGGCGGTGGACGTGAAGCCTCGGCCACGCTTTCTCACGTACGGTGGAGATTGGGATTGGGATTGCGATTGCGATTGCGAGGTGTGGGCGGAGGTGGAGGCCGGCTGGGGACCGATGAGGCTGGAGAGCGGGTCGGATGTCAATGATGAGGACAAGGAGGAGGATGAGGAAGGACGACTCTGCTCCTTCTTGTGCTGTGCCGATCTGCGTTGGTGTTTTCTGTCTCTGCTGCGCGACCTCGATCTTGACTTTGACCCTGATCGTGATCGAGAGCGGTCTCTGCGCGAAGATCTAGAGGCTCTAGTTGTGTGGTGTGTGGTCTCGTCGTCGTCTGACAATGTATCTCGTCTGCGGCGTCGTCGAGCGTGGTCTTCGTGCTTTTCTTCCCGCTGTTGCCGTCGCCGCTGATGTCTCTCTCGGTCATGGTCGTCGCCGTGCTGCCCACTCCTGCGTTCCCGCCTGGGACTATGAGCCCGATTTGAGTGCCTGACTCCCTCGTGCGGATGACGCCTCGATTGCTTCCTGTCGTGGTGGCCCTCATCACTCAACTTGCGCCTCTTCCTCTCCCTGCCTTCACTCAGTTCATATGCCCGCTCGCGTTCTCTCTTCCTCTCTTCCTCCCGAATCCTCCTGAGCCGTTCGTGCGCCTCGGCCTCCTCTCTCTCCTTCAGCTTCGCATTGTGGGTGTCCGCATCCCGAACGAGATTCTTGAGAAACCGGGTATTTGGTTTCGGCGCCGCCGAGTTTGCGGGTCGCCTGGGGAGCAGTGCCGAGAGACCTTGCGATGCGTAGCGAAGGGAGGACTGGCGGGCATCTGCGACCAGGAGGGCAGCGAGGTCATCGTCGTCAAGGGCTTCGGGCGACGGCATGTTGCGACAATGATGAATGTCTAGCGGGTGTTAAGCCATCGCTTGACGAGACTCACCGAGTTGGGCGCCGACGATCATAGCTCGTAGCGCGTAGCGCGTAGTGACTTGCGAGATACCCAGCGAGTACGAGTACGGAGTACACCAGGTAGGGAGCATGTATTTCATCCGCTGTGTCGTGCATGAGAGGAAGGCGGGAGGGGGGCACGAGGGGTGGCAGGATCATCCGCCCGGCAATCCTGCCGCCTTCGCGACGCTACGGCGATGAGCAAGTTAAGCAAGGTACCGTTGTACCGCTGTACCTCTCAAGCTCCAGCACGATAGCTTTACTCGTATCGGTCCATAAACCGCAGACAAGAGGACATGAGTCCGTCTACAGGATGAGTGACAACTGTCCCTAGCAGAGCTCCTCTCCAGCATGCCGCCGTTCCGGTCCCTCCTCCGCTTCATCCGCGCCCCTCCCCTCCCCAACACCGGCAGTCTAGCCCGCGACCTCCTCGCCTCCGAACGCACGTTCCTTGCCTGGGCGCGCACCGGCCTCGGCTTCATCGCCCTCGGTGTCGCACTGGAGAAAGTCGAAGCTCTCGCCGCGCTGTCGCCCACGTTGCTGCATCTCCAGGACAGCAGGACGAAGCTGGCCGCAGGCGTGCTGGTCGGGGCGGGCAGTCTGTGCGTCGGCCACGGCACGGTCAGGTACTTTAGTGTGCTTGACTTGTTGAAGGACGGGAAGTTCAGGCCCAACACGGGTGGAGTGTCCTTGATGGCTGTGACATGCGTGGGCATTGCGGTCGTGGGGAGCATTCTCGTCGTCGAGAACGAGGCGGGCAAGGCTGGGAAGCACGACAAGGAAGGGGAAAAGAGGGTCACTGTGTGATGTATGCGTCACGTTGCATGTTCAGTTTGGCTGTCATATGCGTTGGATGGTTGGTCATACTCTATCGTCTATTCTATGGTCTGATTCAGCCGCGCCGGTCGACCTTCACAGTGCAGTTGCCAACAGCGACTGAGCGGGTCGACTGGGCTGCATGGCACGACATTCAGTGGTCTACGCTGCTGGTGCTCCATACTGCGACGTCTTCGCACTTTCAATGTCGACGTACCCGTAAGCGCTGGCGCCTCCGGACTTCATCTTCTCACCCCACGTGCCCATATCCTTCAGGAAGGCGTCGACATTCTCGGGAACGGACATGTCGATCGGTTCCTGGTCTTTGCCGACCTGTCGGATCTGGCTGCCGGCAATGACGTTGGTGAGACCAAAGTTGTTGCGGTCGATCTTTTGTTCAATGGCGCCCGAGACCTTGCCTTCCAGCAGATCCTTGGGGAGGTGGAATTCCTGGCATGCAGGCCGAGCAAGCCCGACGCCGTCCACGGTCTTCAGAGCGTTGACCATACCGTCGAGCGTCAGGAAGCCACCGGTGACGTATGTCTTGGTTTTGCGCAGGTCGCCGACGATCTGCTCGGCAAACTCGATGAAGAAGGCTTCCCGCTTCTTCGTCGACTCTCGCTTGTGCACGAATGCCAACGATTGGTAAGTGCCGCCGGAAAGCTCGACGAAGTCGAACTCGTGCTTTTCCAGCAGGATGCAGAGGTCCTTGGCTTCGTCCGCCGTGAAGCCGCCCTCTTGGAACTCGACCGAGTTGACCTTGATCCCGAGAATGAACCCGGACGAGGAAGGGAGCTTTTGGCGAATCGACCGCGCGATCTCCAGGATGATCCGGGCACGGTTTTGGAGCGAGCCGCCGTACTGGTCGGTCCGCTTGTTGGTGGTCTGGGAGAGGAACTGCGCCAACAGATAGCCATGTGCGCCGTGGAGCTGGATGCCATCGTATCCCGCCTTGTGCAGGAACTCGGCCGCGTGGGTGAATCGCGCAATGACGTCTTGGATCTCCCCGTGGGATGCGGCGTGCGGTTTGGCGAATCGCATTCCCATCAAGTCGCCCTCCAGTTGCACGTCACTGGCAGAGACCGGGTCGGGCTGGAGTCTCTGATCAACCTGGCGTCCGGCGTGCGAGACTTGGCCCACGACCAGACTGCCATGTGCTTTGGCCTGCTTGGCCAATTCTTTGAACGCCTCGAAGCGCTGTCCTTCGAAAGGGGTATCGCCCGGGATAATTGGATTACCAGCTGAACGACACTTTTGTCAGCGCAGCCCGACATTCTGGTCAACTCGACAACTTACGTGCTTCCAAATTGTCATAGTCGATCATGGTATTTCCTGTTAGAATCACACCAAACCCGCCTTCGCCCCATCTCTGATATACCCGGATAAGCTGCTCCGAGGGGATGCCTCGTTTCTCCTTGTTCTCTGGGTCCCAAGACGACAGGCGCTCCGTCATGGCCGCCTTCAAAAAGCGGTTTGGGGCGGTCTTGCCACTGAATTCGAACTTCAGTGGCTCGGCCAAAGGACCGGCGTCCTTGATGTCGGACGGCCAGCGGTCAGGCATTGCGCGTTGTTGCGAACGTCGAGGAGTGGTTGCGATGTCGAGGAAGTGAATGCTCAATTGCCTTGGAAGTCGTTTGTAGTCGAACTCTGGTGGTGTTGACTTTTTACATAGTCTTGAACAGGACTCAGTCCATTTATACCCAGTGTCTATCCGGCATTTGTGAATTATTGTCCAGTAAATTTTTTCGGGTCTATCGCGTCGCTTCGATTTGTCACGTCATGAACTGAAGTCATCGACAATGCCGGCCGAATTCGACCCTCGTCTCCGTCATCAGTTGGTTGGTGTCACCAAGCGGGCCCCATGTCGGCTGGATATTCGTTGTCCTTCCGAACATATTCAGGGGGCCGGTCGGGCAGGACAAGGTACTGTAGACAATCAAGGCCGACGCCATTCTGGTATTAATCATCAGATGCGTGGGCGTGGTCTGCCTGCGGCGGTAATAAAGAAGCGACTGCTCGAGTCAAGCCTCATTTGGCACAGACTCCGACCTGAAGACCGCCACTTCTGGACACGCTTCCGAACGAGCTGACACTGTTGGACAGTCCGACTACTCTGTACGGAGTACCTTGGTTTGCATGGACGACCGCGATGACCGCGATGGACACGATGAATCCCGTCCTTCACCGAGAATTTCCTCTCTGGTAGACTCCGGACGATTGCCCTGCCCTGCCAAACGATCAGGGGCCACCACAGCCTGGCAGATGATCAAGCACGCCTTGTCAATGTTTCTCTGATCAGACATAGACATGCATTGCACGTCCCTGGCCTCCATTTGGCGATGCCTCTTTGCCCGCCGACTGCTCGAGATCAGTCAAATTGCATACGCACGAAATGCCAGGCTCTGCAGGTCAATCTGCACACATATACTGCCAGGCCTCTGTTCTCGGACTGCTGGTGGGAATATAGGTTGATTGGAGCCAACGAGACGAAGGTCATGCGCCACGGTAACTCCATTGCGATCAGTCATTTCTGGTCGCTTTCTTTCTCGTACAGTCTGGGGCGGAAATGCCATGCCTCCATGTCAGCTTGAACGACTTGGTGAATTCTTCAACGAGCTACCAAAGACAGCGTCGTGGAAGTCGCAAAGATCACTGCCACGGCACTGAAATATCCGCTAACGGACATTTGCAGTCTCCTACAGTCTTCTTGCAGAGTCTGTCCTTTCGGCAAGCTATCAGGATTCCGTCTAGCGATTGGGCCAGGCACCTGTGGAATGAGAGGAAGCGAATCCGAGCTCCGCGAACGGCCATGTGGACAAGCTCTAGTTCAGGATCCCCGGTGGTTTTGTTACCCTCCATACGCTTTTGCGAGAGATGAGCTCACGTGCATGGCCTCGATACCCGGCCTCTCCACCAGAGCTATCCTCGGGGCAGAAGCATACGAAGACCGCGCCATCGCATTCTATAAGACCTTGAAAACAGTTGCTGCGTCGATACTTATATGCAGCGGCCACCGCATCTCTGCAGCACTATTCCGCTGGGCACTCGCCTCAATCATTGCTGGCGAAGACCCGGAGAAGATTGCACACACTCGGTAACCAAGACGACCAGCCATTTCGGTCTCTGGGGACTCCACTCGTCTTCACATCCGCCCATCCGGCAATTTCTTCGAGTTCGATCCCGACGAAACCATGTTTGATTTCAATCGCAATATCGATCAGGCCGCAGGGATTGTCGCTGGAGCCTCTAGGCTGGGTATCCCGTCGCCGGGTCCCACCACAGCAAGGCTGGTTCAAGGTCGAGCAAGCGCACGACACTGGCAACGATCTTGTCTCGATGATGAATCATTCGTGTGATCACGAGGGCGTTGTCCTCGGCTCGTTGCGACAAATCAGCCAGACCTTCCACGTTGAATTCCTCAATCAAGGCACAACAGGTAATTACGCGGAGAAGAGGCAGTCAGTGGACGAGATATCAATCTAGCCAGCATCAAGGATCTTCTTCCGAGGGTGAGGCGGACGTGGACAACGGGAATGACCCGCCCGAGACGAGCAGATGGGCTGGAATCAATGGCGGCTGTTTCCCCTCCGAGTCTGCTCAAAGACGAGAGAGGAGCATCAGCGCGAGACGCCGGACAAGGACCAGCGAGCTGCAGAAGTGAATCGTCACCCGAGGAGCCGGGGACAAAAACCAACTGTTTCTCAACGCGCGCACCACGTGTTTGCTGGGAGTTTGCTTTCTTTTTGTGTCTCCTCCTCCGTTGGGCTGGCTTTCTAGTTCTGTTTCCCATCTGACCTAATTAAACTTGTGACTCTGACTTGGTGCTTGGGTCCTATTTAGCACCGCAAATACACGTTGGCAATGTCTTGGGCAGGAAGATACCCCGGTCAATGCACGCACTGCACGGATAGTGGTCTTAGCCCCGGTCTAATTTTGTATAGAGGTGTTGGCCTCAGGTGTATGGGGTGCACGTCAATATCAGTATCAGCGTCAGTATCAGCGTCAGTATCAGCGTCAGTATCAGCGTCAGTATCAGCGTCAGTATCAGCGTCAGTATCAGCGTCAGTATCAGCGTCAGTATCAGTATCAGTGCCATTGCCGGCCACGGAGTCAGGAACAAAGGCTGCCCCTCCGCCCGCCGTGTCATACCGCGAACGTGATGCGACACCCACGATGGACGTCGTTCCAAAGTGCAAAGCAGACAAGTACGATTTGGCACGTGAAGCATGACATTAAACCTACCGTAGGTCATGACGGCCGCTTGTCCTCAGAGCGATACTATCTGTATCCAGTACCAAGCCTCGGTTTCAGGTGGTGTGACTCGGGTGCACGACGCCTTGGAGTTGACGGTGGTCGGTTTCAGTTAAAGTAGGTTGATCAACAGGAGGGTAGACAGGTTGGTAAGCGCATACAACGAGATGAGATAGCTATAATCGCGCTCCAGGTCCACTTCACCGACAGATCGACTTCAACGACAGATCGACGTCAGTTGCAGGTCGGTGGAATACGTTACACAGTTGCCTGGATTTCATTGTATCGCATTGGATTGCTTTGCACGTCCTACTCAGCTCATTCAACCCAGGTACTAACACACTGGTCAACAAAGCTCGATATGCATGATTTGCATGGTATGTTCTGTCCGTAGTTCGCCCCGGAAATCACCGCCCACCACCGACCCCCACAGCGCCCTACAACTTATCGTTTCTGCCAACACCACTGTGGTGCTTGACCTTGCTGTCCCTCCCAAAGTGGCGCTCCACCTCGGGCAAGGTGCGGCTCCCGTCCGAGAACTCCAGCTTGTCAATCCACACCTTGGCCTGCTCGAAGAAGGACATCTGGATCATGTTCTGCAGGGTGCTGCGGATGATGATCATCTCCACGCCTTTCCACTTACTGCCGGAGGACGCGGACGAGGCAGCGGTCTTGGCAGCGGACTCGAGGGCAGACGATAGTGTCGCTTTGGGGGCCGAGCTATTGCCGACGAGATTGTTCTGCGCACGCGTCTTCATCGTGTCCAAGGGGTAGGTCATGACCCAGGCGCCGATGCCGCATAGAGCGCCCGCCACGGCAATGGCTCCGGCAGAGTTCGCCTTTTCAGCGCCGTAGTACGAGTTCAGGGATTGCTTCGTGGTTTCGTAGATGCCAAAGTAGATGCCTGAGCCGATGGTGTCGCGAATCACGTGCAGACGGAAACCCGTCCACAGACCGAGGGGCCCTTGTCGAGCAACGATGCGTTTCATGGATTGCCAGGAACTGACGCGGCCGGAGTTCTTCGGGCTTTCTGTAGTGGATGTAGGGTTGGTGTGGTCGGCTTGAGCTGAGGCCATGAGGACGGAGGTTTGCGTGGCGTTCTTGATCAGTTCGACAGGAGCTGGTTTCAAAGTCAGCGCGTTCTCTCTTCCAATTCGATCTACCAACGTACTCAGAGTCACGGCGCAGACGGCACCCGAGACCATGCCGGCGCCAGTAAAGCAGGTCATGGTATAGATGTCCGGGTAAGTGCCTGGCTTGTTGACATGTTGCAAGGGAGAGCGGCCTGTGGCAGCTTCGATCCAGTTGTCAAAGGTGTATTTTGCCTTGCGATAGATGGAGAATCCGAGAGCGCGAGACATAGTGATGGAGATCAGCGGATTGAACGTGCCTGGGAAGCGGTCAGTCACGGATGAACATTCGTGGCCGGGAGTCGTTCCCTACCAGCCCAGAAGCCACGGATTCCTTCAGTACGATAGGTGAACTTGGTGCAATCCCAGGCATTGACAAAATCACGTCTGAAAGTAGTCAGCGATTGTGCCACGGAATCGAACGAGCCCGCCACTCACGATTGCATTCTGGTCTTGATATTTTCGAGAGGAGCCTAGAACTGGAGTCAACGTTGCGGCTTGTGAGGTCGGTCTCGCCCAACTCACTCCTGCAATAACAGCGAGGGCACACGCGGGACCTGACGAAAGAACTTGTCGGTATTTCTTCGTGTAGTAGATTCGAGTATCGGCAGAGGCCCAGCCGGTATCGAGCTTTGAGTGCGTAGGCATCGTTAAGGGTGGCTGTGATGATTTGGATGGTAGTTTGGAAGTTGGATCATGATCAAAAGGTGAGGTTTCGCTGGAAGTTTTGCTGGCATGATTCATCGCCCCAGCGATGGTGGTCGTTTTCAGACCAAGTGTCGGGCAGAAAATCGGCGCCCTTGTAGAGTTCCTTGTTCACGCGGACACTGACAGACACAATTGATTCCTCCAATGTCCGAGTCGTTCACACATGTCCTCGCTGGGCTGCGGAACCCGATGGAACGCAAGATAGATCTCTCAATCTATTCGACCGAGAAGATCCCTCTGCGTTCCACACGCCATCACCGAGACTGATATGTTCACCCTTTTGTTCCCTCTCTCTCGCGAGTCCCAGAACACAATCCCTGTCAGAGCACAAGACCACTTCCCGAAAACGGCACCGAAGCGTTCGGGCGGGAGGGGTGCTGCGACAGACGAGGGGACGTAGCTCCTGTGTTGAGCTATCGGCTGAAGCACTATTTGTCCCTTTGTGAGGTAATTCGAGGGCTGTATGTAGCCT